ACCTAACAATGAGCAAGAAAAACAAATTTTTGGTATGGAACACGTTTGTTCAGAGTCATTAGACTGACCTCTCCAAAGTCAATTTTTATTTCGAACCCCAAAGACGCTTATTATTAGAATATTTATAATTAATTTTTTTAAGTCCTTTTCTCTATCCTGATTGCCTAATATAGGCCTCTCCTAATTTTCGCCATTCATCTCTGTTATTTGTAAGTCGTTTCCACATTGGCCTTGCAGTTCTTTTAATATCGTCACTCCATCGCATTTGCAGTCTTCCTCCTGGTCTTTTGGCTTCATATGGCCGCCAATTCCCGATTTCTTTATTCTATCGGCCATCCGTAAGACATTCGTTATGTCCAGCCCATTTCCATTTCAGTTTAGCTACGTATTCGACACCATCTTTTACTTTTGTTCTATTACGAATGTCTTTATTGGTTTTATGGTTTAAGTGAGATACCCAGTATCTGTCGTTCCATAGGTCTCCATAGAGTCTTGCTGCCCATCCCATTTTTACACGTCTGCTTATTTCGGTAGTCTGATTTTCTTTGCTTGCCTTGACATTTTGACCCAGATATGTATATTCATCTACGTGTTTTATCTATGTCCCTTCGATGTTTATCATAGGTTTGTCATCTTTGTGACATTAGTTAAGTTTTGCTGAAATTCATTTTCAGTCATTTTTTTAGGGATTATGTGTGTAGCTCCCCAATTATCGTATTGAGTGCATTCCACGTGTCGGCTATTAGTACTGCATCATCTGCGTATCTAAGATAGTTCAACTATCTTCCGTTATTTTCCTAGTCTATTGACTTAAAGATATCTTCTAGGTCAGCTGTAAATAATTTTGGAGATATTGTGTCTCCTTGTCTTACTCTGTTGATTTTTACTGGTCTTGTTTCGATTCCATTACCCAATGTCACTATCATTTCTGCTAGTTCGTAAATAGTATGTATTATTATTCTGTACCTGGAATCGATCCGGTTGTTGACTAATGCTTCTTCTATTGCCCACAGTTCTACGCTATCAAAAGCTTTTTCATAATCTATAAAAGCCAGACATAATAGGAGATTGTATTCGTTAGTCTTTTCTATTAGGATTTTTAAAGTGTATAGATGGTCATAGGTGCTGTACCCATTTCTAAATTCAGCTTGTTTTACTGATTGATATCCGTCAAATTTAATTGTTAACCTGATTGTAATAATCTTTGTAAAGTTGTGAAAGGAGTAGACTCCCAAAAATTGCCCTAGAAAACAATCCGCCTGGTTCAACACCCCCGGAAGACCACCTAAAAGATGGAGGGATAGTTGGCAATCTACCTCCCAAGAAATTAACCAGAGGCAGCTTCAGAATTAAACAGATCGAAAGATCTACAAAAAGTAGAAGAAGAAGAAGAAGTGAAAGGAGTGAAAATGGTCGATAATTTTTCAGGTCTGTCGTGTCTCCCTTTTTGTGTATTAGTATTGTTTTATGGCTATGTCTATTCCAAGATATGTTACCTTGGAATAGACATTTATCAAATAATATTTTTAGATATGTGAAGTCTTCTTCTCCGCCTTTTACTAGATATACTTTTAGATTAGATTTACTTTTTTCTAGTTGTCCTTGTTCATTTTTAATGGTTATTATGTTTTTCTTTCCTTGTTTCGGTTTGGTGCATTTGAGACTTCGGTTTTTCTCTATGATTTGTTCTATACGGTCTTCTGGATGTTTTTTTTAATGTCCTCTTTTATCTGTTTTCTTATTACTCGATTAAGTTCCTTAAATTATGCAGTGTCTCTTTTGTTTTGTCTCAGAAGATCTTTTCTTTGTTTCAGCACGTTTTGTGATTCTACACTTATTTTGGATTTTCGTTTTCTGTTAGCGGTTGCCACTTCTGAGCTTGCATTTAATAGTTCTTTTGTTATGACTTCATTGATTTCATTTAAACTAAGTCTATCTAGATTTAATACTTTCGCGGGATTTAATTTGCTTTTACATTGTTCTGTATTAGATTTTAGTTTATCTGTGTCTATATTCCAAGTTTTTCTAAATTTATTTCTATTTTTATTATGTTTTATCTATAATTTGGCTCTAACCATTCGGTGATCGCTACTTCCTGACGTCGTATTTATTACTGTTACGTCCTGTATGATATCTGCTTTGTTACACAGAATGTAATCTATTTCGTTCCCAGTTTTTCCGTCTGGGGATAGCCACGTCCACTTTCTTTGAGGTTTTTTCTTATAGAATGTGTTCATTGCATAGTATTTGTGGGCTTGTAGGAAGTTAACCAAGGTTTCTCCTCTCTCGTTTCTAACTCCAGAGCCGAATTGTCCTATATAGTTTTCGGTTTTTTAGAGTTGTTATCCGATCTTAGCGTTGAAGTCTCCTATTATCATCGTATACGTGCTCGGATAATTCGTGCTAGTTTCTGCAATTTTCTCATAATTCGTCTATCTCTTCATCGGGATGTGCTGCGGTTGGAGCGTATACTTAAATAATTTTCAGGGAGATGTTCTCGTTTTACATTTAACCTAATCATTGCAATTCTTTCAGATATCCCTACGAATTGCTCTACTTTATGTGCATATTCCTTGGAAATTAGAAATCCTACGCCATCTAGGCTTTATTCTTCTCGCCCTTTGTAATATAGGACGTTACCGGACTCTAGTGTTGCACTCTTTCCCTTTTCTTTTTACCTCTGCTATGCCAATTATGTCTTATTTTAAGCCCTTCACGTCTTCTTCGAGTTCGTAGATTTTTCATCTTTGCTTAAGGAGCTTATATTTAGACTGGCGATATTCAATTTTGTGGTTTTTAGCGATTTCTTGCTTCCTTGAGCTGAGCTGAGCCTGATGAAGCTGTTCTTTTTTCCAAAGGAGTGGGATTTGCCATTACTGCATTGTCTACCAACCTGGGGGCCCATTCCTTTTGTTTGAGATATCGCCATATTCCTATTAGGAGGTTTTTTAGCCTTAAAACACCACGCTGGCTAGACGGGTTGGCGAGTGAATCAAAGAAACGGCTCTAATATGCTCTAACATACAAGATATGTTAAATGAAACCAATTGCGTCCCAATTTCTACGGCAGAATGCAGTAGGATTTGGTTACACATATTAAACGAGAAAATCAATAGAAAGAAAAAATAAAGCAGTCAATTAGTAAGTCAATAACATATTGAGGGTACATCATTTGTGTTTTAAACTAACATAAATACTTACCATGCTATTATTTTTCTGACGGCTATTCTTAGGGTAAAGTTGATTTCATGTAATAAAATGAACTATATTTCAATAAATTCGTCCCAGGAACGCAACTCAAAAATATTGACAATATTAAGTCATCTACTTTAAAATGTATAATATGTCTGATTTGTCAATTTGAATGGGTCAGATAAAATTAAATTATTAGAAAAATATTTTCACCAAGCAACAAAAACAAAATTTGTTGAATTTATTAATTTTGTATTGTATTTTTAGAACGATTTACGAAGTGAAAATCGAAACGTCAAATTTTAAAGTAAAATTGTGGCTTATTCCCAATTAAAATAGTAAATTGGTTGAATGTAATTTACGTTTTATAATAAGATTTATTACAAACTGTATCTCTATGTCTATTTATTAAAATAAGTCGATTAGTATGTCTTACCGACATGTAAGTGTGTTTTTGTACTCTCTTACTAGTAAATTGTAATATTACCTACTATTTGGATGCTAAGTAAATGCATCATAACAGATACTGACACTTAATGACTAGCACGTAATAATTAGTATATTACATAACGAGAGTTGTAAGAAGCTTATTACATGCGAGTAAAAAAGTTGCGCGCGAGCCCGAGCGCAGTAATTTTACAAGCATGTAATAAGCTTACAACTCAAGTTGTGTTCTATACTTTTTCTACTATTATTTTCGTTTATAAAAATAAAAATTGAATTACCACTATATTTACACTGACAGACTAATAATTTTTAATCTGTCAAAATAACGTCTGTTAATTCGTTTCCATGGTAACTCGACCAACTGACTTACGAGGCTTATGTGATATTACACATTTTTATAAAACTGAAGCGTAATTTTTTTATTACTTGCTAGTCATTACGTGTCAGTATCTGTTATGATGCATTTACTTAGCATCCAAATAGTAGGTAATATACAATTTACTAGTAGTAAAAAGAGAGTAGAAAAAAAATACGCTTCAGTTTTATAAAAATGTGTAATATCACATAAGCCTCGTAAGTCAGTTGGTCGAGTTACCATGGAAACGAATTAACAGACGTTATTTTGACAGATTAAAAATTATTAATCTGTCAGTGCAAATATAGTGGTAATTTAATTTTTCTTTTTATAAACGAAAATAATCGTAGAAAAAGTATAGTACACAACTTGAGTTGTAAGCTTTTTACATGCTTGTTAAAATTACTGCGCTCGCCGCTACGCGGCTCGCGCGCACCTTTTTTATCCGCAGGTTAATAAGCTTCTTACAACTCTCGTTATGTAATATACTATTAAAGTTAAAAAGTTCAAGTTTAAAGTTAAAAAAGTTCCATCTTGGACTTTTTTTCTGTGGTTTCTAATCACTTGACTGGCGAATTAGACCGGAAATATTTCTTTGATCTATTCTTGTTTTTTATTCCTATAGCAGTCGTGAACAATAATACAGGTAATACTGCATTTACCCGTCCACAATATTTACTCTTTACCCTGTCAATATTTGTATTAGAGTACGTTAGAACTTCGTTTACTAGTAGCAAGGTGACTTGTTTAAATACCTGGGTCACCATTATGTATTAAATATTATTTCAGTGGTTTTAACATTATATTTGGCTAAGTAAGGAAAGATAGTCGTATCAATTTTTAATACACTTTAAACAAAAAGCAGCTTTATTTCTTCTATACGTTTTATTTAGAGTGTTAATTAATTATATTCTAATAAAATAAATTAATTAACAAATAATAATATTAGTAGATTTATTAAGATTTTTTAAACTTTAATATTAATAGTAAATTTTAATTGTTTTAGTTGGGTTATAAACATGGAAGGAGCCGCAGGTACCCTGTATGAAGGTGAACATTTTCAACTTCAATTTAAATTTAGTAATAAATATCCATTTGATTCCCCCGAGGTAAGTGCTAAATGTTTTATGAAAGTATAAGTTTGAACATGCAATTATGAGTTTTCTTTTAATTTCTACACTTTTTGTGGTTACGACTCTTCATATATATATATATATATATATATATATATATATATATATATATATATATATATATATATATATATTAGACCTAGAGCTAAGATTAATACTGTTACAGGAATTAATCTGTACAGTCTTCCGGGTTGAACCTCGTCGATTATTACTAGTGCTGAGAATAGAGGACAGGTTATTTATACTGTCGATGGTGTCTTGGCTTTAGTTTAGATTGGCATTAGGGCCAGCGTGGGGATTGGAGCGGGAGTTGGAGTGAACATTTCTGAAAGTAGGATTTTGATTGACGAGTGGAGCGGACAGTATTTTCTTTATGAGAGGTCTCCAAGTCGACGGTAACCGTATGGCGTCATCTCTTTTATTGTGACAATTTGGCATTTTTTTATTTCTATGGCTTTTCGGAACACAAAAATTTATTTTTCTTAAATAATTTTAGGAAGAAAATCAAAACAACTTTTCTCTTCCAAATCTCTAATCGAACTCCCCTTTATAATTATTTTCTTTCAAAATCAAACCTCTCGTTTTCTTTCATACCATTTCCTAAAATCCCTTCATTGATCAATCAACACCTCTAATAAAAAATATCTTTCTCACTCTGACTTGACAACAAAATCTACGTCATACAATTATTTTTATCAATATAAGGTTGAATGTTCGAATAAATGAACTTTGATGGTACACAAGGCAAATATCGAACACAGTATTTAATCAAATCTTGCCCAAGTACTTTCGATCACAAGATCATCTTCAGGGGCATTTTCGTCAGTTGTGGCCTATCCAGCAGTAACAGAATGTCATAAATGTAAATTGGGACATAACAAATACACTAAACAAAGACAAACAAACACTTTAAAATTTAAAATTGGAGAAGCTACATTTTATATAGAAGCTACATTCTGTCTCCGGCTTCTATATAGAATGTAGCTTCTCCAATTTTAAATTTTAAAGTGTTTGTCTTTGTTTAGTGTATTTGTTATGTCCCAATTTACATTTATAACATTCTGTTACTGCTGGATAGGCCACAACTGACGAAATGCCCCTGAAGATGATCTTGTGATCGAAAGTACTTGGGCAAGATTTGATTAAATACTGTGTTCGATATTTGCCTTGTGTACCATCAAAGTTTAATTATTTTTATGACGAAGTTAAACTCTATTGTTGTCGGATGTCTGAAAAACCAATTTCTTTATTATTTTTCAACAAGTTATGTAAATTACTGCTTAACATCCAAATATTTACTACTTATCATTCATTATCATACGTTCATTGTTTCGTAAAACTCTTATACCTATATTTGTACTTTCAAATCTATTAAGGATTAATAGTTCTTGAAATCACTTTTAATACTATAACGCACTTTCACTGGAGTACAAAAATATCCTTATTTGTATCTTAATTCTAAAACAGATGCCTGCATATATAATTTTTAAAATATTTTTCTAAGAAAAATCCGGTTGAAGGTGGATTTATCTTAGCCATAATACTTTGGCCGAATTAGGATGCGTTTCGGGCGGCATTTAGCAGAAAATACTTAAAATTTTGTAGGGGTATTTCTGTGGGCTATTGATAGTGGATTGTTATGACCAGTAACCCTTATTCCTAATCTTTCCTCTATTTCCGACCCATCAGTATAAATTTCATGACGTTTCTTGTGATATAAGCAATTTATTTTTGAGTTAACTCATGCAGGTTTATGATGATATTTACTGTGAGTTCGAAATCTTGTTTTACAGACATAATGCCTAGAGTGTCAATTTCAATCCTTAAAATGCCCACAATCTTTAAAAAAGTTAAAATCCGAGTTAGTAATCCCAAAGGCACTTTCTATGGCGATCCTCCTTACATAAAGTTCATATGGAAGGGAAAATTCTAGTATTATCTCTAAGGCTGTTATTGACTTTAACTGTGTGGTTTTGTTCTATCAAACCAGCATAGCAAAATAATGAAGGACCTACCAACCATTATATATAACTTATAGATACTTTTAGGTTTTAAACTCTTGTTTTTCAATAAATCCCGTGGCATGTGTATAGAACCCTTCTTGCTTTTGCGTGGAGATATTTGCAAGGTGTACATTCTGCGTAAGTTTTATATTTAAGGATAATTCCCAGATACTTAACTATTTCCGATAATGATAGTGTTGTTTTATTTATGATAGGCAATTAAATTTTTAATTTCCTCCTAATCGTGAATGAAATCAGTGTCGTTTTATTAGGAGTTACTAAAGTTCTTTCTTTGAAACCAAATAGTTACTATAATAGGTGTAGGGTATCTTGCTTGCTACCAGCAACAATATACTATTAGGTCAGTCAAATAAAATTGTAATAATTCGTTTAGAAGGAATCCTTGAAAAAATTGAAGTTTTATTGTGAAAATATGGATTTACGTCAAAAGTATCAGTTTAAAATAACGGCTTCATGCTTTAAACATTGATATTATAACAAAAATCACCGAAAATCACTTATTACATTTTTTTACACACTGATTTCCTAATTAGAAGTTTTCAGTTTGGTTTTCTTAAAAAGATGTGAAAAACTATTCATTTGAAACCTTTTAAATTAAATTTGGTTGATAATTTATTTAAACAATTGCGAAAAAACGGCAAAAACTTTTAGGAGCAATAAACATAAAAACGAGGCATAATAACAATAATAATAAAATATTGACAATAATAGGGAAATAATAAACAAAAATAGGCAATAATAAAAGTTACAAAAAATATGTCTTTTGACAGACTTAAGGTACACATAATTTTTGTTGAAAAAAAGTTATTCCAATTGTTTAAAGTTGTTTATTCGGTAATGAAAAACGAGGTTGTTTACGTCACGTTAGAACACTTTATAAAATCTCATTTTGTTTGTTTTTATCTATATTTTCAAGATATGTAAGTTGAAATACCATTTTCAAAATTATAACCCCCTAAAATTAAGTTTAAATAATGGCCTATTTGTTTATAGCTTAATAAGTTTTTCGTTAATAACTTTGCGAGAAATGAATATGAAATAATGCCATTTCAATATTCGTGTAGGTGGCAATTTTTCATACATTAAAAAAAATGTTCTAGGAGCATTTGTGACCGAAATATCCATTTCTTTTCAGAAATTCACCATTTTTTTATTTATTAATATTAAGAAATGAAACTGTTCGAATATAACATTTAATACTTATACTTGAGAATGACTATTACAACAATTGAAAATAATTTATTTTATTATTATAAATAACGATTTTAAAAGTGCAAGTTTCAAATAATTCCAAATATGAAAAGTGTTGAGAAGAATGAATTCGTCGCTTTTAAAAGTGAAATTGGAACTTCAAATTAAATTCGTCTGAAAATGTTACAATATCTCCGGAAGTACTGGGCCAATTTTGAGGGTCAGTTTTGCGGTAGCCATACTTAAAAAACAATTGTAATTTAGACGTTAGAATATAAAGGCTAAAGATGTTTATTTTGTATTCTGTATTATTTAATACACGCTAAATAATAAGTTTATTTTTTATAATTGTAATAATTAGTGTTGTGTATTAATCTGCATATTATACAAGCGGTAAATAATTATTTTTCCTAAAGAGCTGTTATTTATATGTAAGTATTATTTCTAACTACTAGAATTTATAAAAAAAATGGGTAAATTATAAATAAAAAAAAGTTGTGTACTGCTAATGCACTATAAGAATTTTTATAATCGTTAAAATGTTCAATTAACTAAAACCACAATACTACGTGATTAAATTTATTGAAAATACTTAATATATTTGTTAAAAAAAAAAGTTTTTAAATACAAAAACAAAATTATACTATTTTATTGATATGAACTGCATTCCTCCATTAACAATAATGTATCTAGGTTCTTTTTATTTTAATTTTTTGTAAAATTTTTAACCATTGTTTATGCTTCAATAATTTTTCATTATTTATTATAACAATTTTTAATTTTAAACGTAATAAATCGATCTTATAAAGTAATTTTTTATGCAGTTATTCACTATAGATGCTGCTGAATGTGGAAGCTCTAGCTCATTTGACGAAGGTAAACAGGGAATCTGTCTGATTTGTGAGAAAGAACTCACTGCGACATCACGCATCGTTGGTGAAGCAGCATCCTTGAGATTTATAGCTTCTAGTAAACGAAGAAATGATTTTAAGTAAAAAATTATGAATAAACTTAAGGCTGTTTTATCGGTACACCAAAACCTAGATATAGTGTTTTCTCTGTTATTTACCGACAAAATATCTCGAAATTTGGACACGTTATTCAAAATTATGTTGCCTTTAAACTGATGGTTTTACTTTTTTAATTTTTTGAAAGTTCTTTTGAAATATCGGATTATACAGTTTAACGTTCTATTATAACCAAACTTTTTACGCCCATCACTTGAAAGAGTTTTTTTTTCTGTAATCGTTGGTTTTTTTTTTCACCTTTTTATGTCCAGTAATAGTCGAGAAAAGCGTGTTCAAACTTTGAAGAAAATTGCTAAAAAATACTGAAATCTAATAGTGAAACGTGTTACTGATCATTGGCATTTAGTTTCACCGTTATCGGCTGCGTGACGTCAAATCTCATGAACGTACGGTCAGATAGTTTGATTTGAAATCAATTTCAAGCTATAACTGTGAAATTGTTTATTTGTTTGTGACAACAAATTGTATTTTTATTTGATAATAATATTCTTATATTATTTTAAATTTATTATAAATAAACGCCATGATGTTTTTTGCAGTCACGTTTCACAAATTTATATTCAATACTATATTTAGCTAAGATATATAAATTAAAAATGTGATAATTATTTTTAAAACATCTACGATAATCAAACAAAAAGGTATTCCCGACAAAAGTAATTTGAATGGAGAATAATGCATTTGTTGTCATTAAACCACCCGCCGGCCGTCGCCACTGCGAAAACAGCTGTACCCGTCGTCGGCTGGCGTAAGCAGTGAGGAAAAGTAAGTGATACGCCTTTTTCAAATCGCAGTGTGTTTGGACTGCTAAAACAGCCTTAAAACCTTTAAAATTAATAATAGTTGTTATGCTAATTATAATAATGTACAATGGATTGTAAAAGCTCGTTATTTATCGAATTAACTCCATGTCAATTATCTCTCCCTCTGACAACATTTACTCCGGCAGAGGTTCGACAACAAATAAAAATTCTAAATCCTAAGAAAGCGCCTGGCTATGATTTGATCACATGAGAATTACTTCAGAAGCCACCGAGAAAAGCAGTGGTGTTATTAACAATACTATATAACAGCATACTACGTCTTCGATACTTTCCAATAAAATGGAAATTTGCTCCAGTTACTATGATTCCGAAACCTAGTAAGCCCGCAACGCAAGCAAATTCATATCACCCTATAAACCTACTCATAATAATGTCGAAAGTATTAGAAAGGCTATTATTACATAAAATCGAGCAAGTTGTTCCAATAAACGAAATTATACCACAACACCAATTCGGATTTAGACGTAAATACTCAACTATCCAACAATGCCACAGAATAGTAAATATAATTAAAACAACTCTCGAAGAGAAAAAGTTTTGCGCTGAAGTGTTTCTAGATATACACCAGGCATTTGATAGCTGATAGAGTGTGGCATAAAGGTCTCCTCTACAAACTGAAATTACACCTAACAGACCAACTATACTTTATACTAAAATCATATCTTACTGAGTGTTACTTCCAGGTCAAAATTGAAGACAGCTACTCAAATTATCGCATCATACAATCTGGCAATGATACCTTATTGGCCGATGACACGGGAATCTTGGCAGTAGATATCGACCCTAATGTAGCATCATGTGTGCGCATCAAGTGTGCGCTCATAACAAGGCGCCGACCATAGGATAGTATCATAGTATCATCGCCACGTAAAAAAAATGCACCGTCAAAGCGCAGCGCCCAGCCTCGAGCCAGGTATCGGACCACAGACTTGGACCATAGTATCCCAGCCAAAACTGGGAAGGCAAATGGACCGGATGAGGTTCCTACCGAATTGCTAAAGCTCTTGAATGATGAATCAATAGGTATAATATTGCACTTATTTAATACAATATACAATACTGGCATTATACCTCAAGAGTGGCTGTTGTCTACATTCGTTACACTGCCAAAGAAATCTAATGCTAAAGAATGTTCAGAACATCGAACAATATCTTTAATGAGCCACCTACTAAAGATATTTCTAAAAATCATCCACAACCGAGTTTATCAAAAGTTGGAGTCAGATATTAGTAATACACAGATGGGGTTCAGAAAAGGGCTTGGTGCTCGAGAAGCTCTCTTCGGTTTGAATGTTCTCACACAAAGATGCCTAGACGTTAATCAGGAGGTACATACGTGTTTTATCGATTTTGAAAAAGCGTTTGACAGAGTACGCCATGATAAGCTTAGAGAGATTCTTGAAAGGAAGAACATAGATAATAAAGATCTGCGAATAATTCTCAATCTATATTGGAATCAGAAAGCTAACATCAAAATAGAAACTGAAACATCACAAGCAATAGAAATACGTAGAGGAGTACGACAGGGTTGCATTTTGTCACCTCTGTTATTTAATGTATATAGTGAAAGCATCTGTCAGGAAGCCCTTTTACAAGCAAACGGAGGAATCGTAATTAATGGAGAGATTGTAAATAATATTCGATACGCGGACGACACTGTACTAGTTGCAAGAACAGTAGAAGAATTACAAAGATTACTTACAGACATAAATATTGCTTGCAACAATTATGGTATAAATATCAATATTAAAAAAACCAAGTATATGGTCTTCAGTAAAAACATGACACAACCAGCGTATATTAGTATAAACGGCACTCAAGTTGAAAAAGTATCAAGTTACAAATACTTGGGAACTTTAATAAACGAAACTAGAGACCAAAACAGTGAAATAAAAAGACGTATCGAAATTGCCAGGGCCACCTTCATAAAGATGAGAAAATTGTTCTGCAACAGAAATATAAGCATCCCTCTACGATTAAGAATGCTGAGAGGCTATGTATTTAACACGCTATTATACGGTGTAGAGGCCTGGACTCTCAAACAGAACAACATGAAAAATATTGAAAGTTTCGAGATGTGGTGCTACCGTCGAATGCTGAAGATTAGTTGGGTTGAAAGAATAACAAACTGTGAAGTAATACGAAGAATAGGAAAAGACCCAGAGATTTTGTTAACGCTAAAGCGAAGAAAACTCGAATATTTTGGTCACCTGATGAGAGGACATAAATACGCATTACTTCAAAATATAATGCAGGGAAAAATAGAAGGAAAACGGAATCCAGGCCGTAGAAGAATGTCATGGTTGCGGAATTTGAGATAGTGGTTTGGCTGCACCACTAATGAACTCTTTAGGTCAGCCGTAAACAAGGTCAGAATAGCCTTGATGATTTCCAATCTCCGATAGGAGTGGCACAAAAAGAAGAAGATTCCAGCTTAGTATTTTTTCGATCCTCGTCCCTAGTACTCTACGATCGACACTACGAGGTGCTGACCACCGAGCCTCGCTGTGACCATCGTATCGATCGCCAGGTAACATAAATGCATTTCATTTTCAATGCTAGCGTTCACTGTCAGTGCTATGATCTAGGCGAGGATACCATGCGATGGTCTCCGTAATGAACGCACCCTTATAGAGAACCGTCAATGGACGGTACCTAACTCACGTTTATTTACTTACAGACTATTTACTTATTACTCTGTGTATAAAGTAGATTGTAAACATGCAATGTAACAATAATAAAAAAAATGTATCGAATTAAAATATAAGAACCGTACGAGATAGTTTAAAAAAAATTAAATTAAATTTTTGAAAAATTGTTAAGAATATCGAAATGGCATTATTTTATATTCATTTCTCACAAAGTTATTAAAAAGGCGACGGAAACAAATAAATAAATATTTTTCAACAACAATTTATGTGTACCTTAAGGGTGTCAAAAGACATATTTTATGTAACTTTTTTTGTTATTTATGCCTTTTTTATGTTTATTGCTCCTACAAGTTTTTGCAGTTTTTCACAATAGTTTAGATACATTCTCAACCAAATTTAATTTAGGTCTCAAATGAATCGTTTTTTCATAACCTTTCAAACAAACAAAAATGAAAAATTCTAATTAGGAAAGAACTATTGAAATAATTAAAAATAGTAATTATCAGTGATCTTTTCTATAAAATCAATGTTTAAACAATGACGCCGTTATTACTGATATTGATGATACTAACATAGATCGATACATCGATATTTTTATACCAAAACTTCAATTTTTTCAAGGATTCGTTCTAAAACGAATTACTTTACATTTTATATTTTGTTTATTGGAATTTATCATGACCACTGTAACTAGATAGTTTGCATAACGCATAGCACGAAAGCCTTCTATTTTGTTTTGTGTTGTTAAAAGATCGTCAACCACTATCGACCACATTAGAGGTGATTTCTACGATATTTACGCACCACTTATTTTATTTGTTGGTATAAATTTAAAAAAATATACAGAATAATAATTGTTGCATTTTTATTATGATCGTAATTACGTACTATTACAAAAATAATGTAATGTGTTTTGGTATAAACAATAACAAATTAACAAAATAATAATTGTTGCATATTTTAATATAATTGGTAATCATTATTACAAAAACGATGTAATGTTTATAGGTAACCTTCGTAGGAACAAACATTCCAGTTCATCCACATGTATATAGTAATGGGCATATTTGCTTATCAATTTTAACGGATGATTGGTCGCCTGCCTTGTCCGTTCAGTCAGTATGCCTGTCAATAGTGTCTATGCTAAGTAGCTGTAAAGAAAAAGTAAGTAATTAATAGAGTGTAAATGTCAAGGTTAATATTGTTGTAGTTCATTTAGTCAATTTTTATTTGAATAGGAGATGAATAATTATAAATGAACATTGTCTATGCAATTTAGCACCAAGTTATAACGAGTCATTTCTTTAATAGGTCATTTCTTAATAATACAATTTAAAAAATCTATACTTATGATTTCATTTCTTCAACCTATTAGGTTTGCTGGTGTCAATAAGTTGATTTAGATGTCAAATCATGAAAGCGACACATTTTAGTAGGAATGAAAATCATTACAACTCATTGTCTTGTGAAAGACAGTCGAGATTCGTCCCATAAATCTTGTAATTTTTTATGACATTACTGAAGAGGTCTAACTTCAGTTTCATCTGTCTCTTTCACGTGCATATTTATGACTTATTTTTTAAATATACATACATATATCTGAGTATATTGGTTGTTTTAAATGTTGTCGTAAATGTTTTAAATGATGTTGCCTTTATTTCCTATCCTTTTTAATTTTTCTGATAAGCTCTTTAGATATGGTATTGATATCATCATTGAGTCACTTGTTGTGAGAGTTTCGGGATTGCTTGTGGTATTTTCTTGTTTTCTTTCATCTATTTTGTGGAATTCCTTGTTTCTAAATGACAATAGGTAGCCATTTTTTGTTAAAACCTTTGTTAGCAAGTTTTTTTCCGCTTGATGTCACTATCATATAATGATTTGATAATACTTTTTTTGTTAAACGTTACATTTTTAGTTAAAATGTAATTTTCGTTACAATCAATTGTAGCTTAATCCCTTATAAACACAATATTTGATATTATTATGGTTTCATACTTTATACTAACACCGTATAAACATAGGTTTAATTTTACAATTTATTTACAATTTTTATATATGACTCCCTTCTGCCTTCTTTATCCGTTGATGATTCTTTAAGTTCTATGATCTCAGAAATTTCCCTTTTGCGGCTGCTTTGCGGTGTAGATCGCACCTTCCATTGTGAATATCGATATAGTGTTCTTTGGAAACTGTTCATTGGGCGTAAGATTTATTTAAGCAGGAAAACTAAAACAATAAGTCTTTTTAGGGTAAATTTTTAATTTAAAGCACGACGAACTTTTGCAATTGACAATTAAAACACTTGTTTTTTACGATAGTTACGAAATACGGAAAATTATAATTTCACAATAACATGTGAGTAAGATATTTTTACTGCTATAAATATGATGATATAAATTGAATAGTAAATTTCATTTACAATAAAGATTATTAATAAAAACCCATTAAGATTGTATTATTTTCTAAATAAATACGAGTTTAAAAATAAATTACGAAATTTTAGGTAATAGTTTTATTTTATAAAAATTTATTAAATTTGTCAATTAATGAGATTTTGTCAATTTTTTAGAAGTTACAAAATTTAAGACGGAAAATTCGGTTCTCCAAATATCGATGCCCTTGGAGGAGTAAGCCTTATACTTGTAAATACCCTTATATTATTAAAAACTTATTATACTTTATATCTCGGAATATCATCATTAATGGAATTATAACCCTGGTTGAGCTCTAATGTTTCGCTAGTCGTTCCTGTCCTTTGCAATTTTGCTGCGTCAATCTTCTTTGCGTCCTCTTGTACACCATTTTTCTGCCTTATTCTGGACATGCCATTCTCACAGATGGAGACAATAGGGTTCTTTATCGTACCTATTGAACTGTTTTTTATTTATCTAATTTATTGTCTTTCCTCCTCGTTACCAACTTTGATTATATTATTCTTAAAATCCAAATCCTTCATTACGTCCATTCCTAATATAACATCCTCTTCGATGTCAGCAACTATAACAGTATGGACGAACTTTTCTGCTCCAATTCCTAATTGTACCTGGATTTCTCCATGAATGTTCGCATTTTCACCTGTAGCGGTCTGAAGTCGCAACCTCGTTGGTAACAGTTTCTTACGGCTGTTTATAACTGTCGGGCGTATAATGGTTCTGGTCGCTCCGGTATTAACCAACAACGTATGCCTTTTATCATTTATTTCTCCATCTACATATACACTTTATTCATGTCATCTTAAAGAAGCTATTAGTATGAGAGGGTGTTTGGAAAAGTTCCTGGTCGAAGATGCCCCTCTAAGGCCGACCCGTTCTAGTTTTCCTGATGGTGAGTTTCTTGATTTGCGTCGTACCTAGGGTGCTTACATGAACTTCGTACGTGTCCTATTTCGCTACAATTCCCGCATCTTATGATCTTATGTTTTCTTGTTCGTCCGTTTTCTTGTATGTAATACTTTTATCATATTAACGAGCTGGTCAAGTTTATCATCATCTCCTTCCTCTTTTACAGTCCTAACGTTACTGTACCCTCCAGAGGCCCGCGTAGCTGACTCGTATTCGAAGGCGGCGGATAAGACATCAACCAGCATCTTTTGACGAGCTAATCGCAGTGTTCTCTGTATTTTATGATTCCGAAGACCATCAATAAATGTTTGAGCGGAAAATTTTTCCATGATGTCTTTGGGAGCTATTGGATAAGTATATCGTACTAATCTGGCAATATCTACCTCATATTCTTGAAGAGCCTCATCTCTCTTTTGTCTTCGATTTTTAAGCTGCGACTGATATACATACTCCAAATGTTCGTGGCCATTTCGCATATTTAACCTCTTCTTAAGTTGTTCGAAATCATCCGTCTCTCTACGGCTATGGTCTGAAGCACATCTAAGGCATCTCCTCGAAGAGCGATAGTTAGGTTTACGCCTTTTGTTTTTCAGACCATCCATTCGCTCTTGCAGCTGATTCGAACTGATTCATGTAGCTGTTGCATGACGATTTTCCGTCGAAAGTTGGGACTTTAACATGAACAGAACCTCCACTTCTTCAAATTTCGGCCGTGTTTCCAACTAACATTTCGTCTCGTCTTCTTTTGTCTCTACTGTAATTGGATTATTTACTCTCTTTGCTGCCCCTGTTTCCTCCATCTTCCTTTCCATCTCTTTCCATATTATCTGTTCTTCGAAGGCCAACATATCGGCAGCAACTTGGTTTTTTAACGAAGACATTCTATCGTCGAGGGCAGACATCTCAGAAGTGACTTTAGAGATTTCCAAAGAGATGTTAGCAGAAACTTTGCTTTCTAGTGAAAAAATCTCGTTAGAAACTTTATTCTCTAATTTTGAAATCGACGTGATGACAGCAGCATGACGTCTTCAAATATATACGTTTCCGGATAAAAACTTCTTTCAAAGCGTTCTTTAGTCGTTGGACTAAATCAGCCTTTTTCCGGTAGAAGCTTATTCCCATAAATCGTAGTCATTTTCACAATTTATTTTATCTGGACAGCTTCTACATTTATAACACTTACAAGTTTATTAGAATCTTTATATATTTATTACAGTTTTACACTTATCACTAAAAACTAGAACAAAACTACTTTAAGTTATATTATTTATTTGCAATATTTATTTCGGACTGAAAACTATTTACAATAAAATTTCTATTTACACTAATCAACCGTTAGACTAGAATTCCGGCGATTCCCTTCTAACAGACTAGAAGGTCACCCGGACTGGTTTTCATTCGACCTTCTTCTGGAAACTTCGAATCGCAGGTATAATAGGAGACCGGTCAGGTATTATTCTACCTGAAGTTTCTGCCGGCTGGTGTATGATCTAGAAAAGACTTGGATGGATTAGAAATAATATGTTTAAAGTTATGAGTCATATTTATCGTAACACTATGTGTTTTTATATAGGATATTAGATCTGCCATTTGCTATTTCTTTGTATTTCTTATATGTTTCCAACCTATATAACCTTCTTTAAAAACCGTTATCACATTTTCTTCTTTTATGTCAAGTCAAGTCAAACGGTTTACGTCGTCAAAATTGTAATTCTCCACGCTAAAGTTTTGACCAGTGGTTTCGCTTTTAGCTCTGCTCTGGGTCTATGTAATTACTTCTCTTTGTTTATTTTGAGCCCTACTTATTCAACAGTCCTCTTATTGTATAACACGGCGTCTTTGACAATATTCTCCTGCCGTAGATGTAAGCGAATCTTGGATATCAAATAAATATTACAGTAGGCTAAAATAGCAACGGGCATTGATTACGATTGCTAAATATTCAGTAGACAAGAATCTTAAACAAACAAAAGAAATTTTGTACGAAAATAAAATGAATGATTGAGGAAAATCAACGAGAAATATTTATACACAAAAATACAAAAGATATATCAAATCTTGGGAAGCTTTTTGGGGGGAGGTATAAAAATAATATTTCGATTAAGGGGAACATAATTATATGTACATATAATTGTTAATACAGTGTATAACAATTCTAGACGTATTTTTTAACGACGAAGGAATTCTAAAAAACAAGCAATTGGACTTCGTAAGTCGTAGGATTTCACACAACGTGACCAGAAATAGAACCGGAACTCAATATCTGATTTCTTCCTGTAGCTTTTGAGTCACTTTTGCCAAACTTTCGGTCATAACTTTTTAACCGGAAATGACATTAAAACCGGAACTAAATATTCGAGCTCTACTTTTCACTACGCGTCGGTTGTTATATTACATTTACTATTTCTGCGACTTTAGTGTGGCACTTACGGTTACAAAATTTTAACCGGAAGGGATATAAAAACCAGAAGTATATATTTATTCTCATCTTGCTAAGGTACGTTGAATAATATATCGTTTTTACTATGTCGGCGACTTTAAAACAGTATTTTCTCATTTAAAAGCTCTCATTCGACACCTCATTTGTCATTCTATTTGTTCTAATAACGGAGGAGTTGTGTTCATGGATAGACAGACATGGATAATTACAATATTTTCACATTTTAATGTTGTAAAATGGCTGAAAACGCCAGAAATGATCTTATATTTCTTAAATAAAAATAAAAAGCCAATCTTGCTGGGCATGCTCGTCTGCACCATGCATTCTTTGTTATGGATATTACGTGCCTGCCATATCATATTTCTTTATATTTTTTATAGATCTCAAAAGTTATATCGCCTTCTCCAAATGCTGTTTTCATAGGTTGTACCAAGAATTGTCCTTAAAATTTTGTTTTAGAAATAGTCGATGTTTTCGATCCACATATCAGCACTTCTAGGAAGAACGTTTTACGAACGTATATTATTTGTTTGGTTTTTTGGCTTAATTTTCTGTTTTTTATGAGTTTTTTTTTTAATCCAAAATAATAATGTCTCTCTAATAGTATCGTTTTTGTTTCTTCCCTTGTGGAGTTATCACTAGTCATGAGGGAACTAAGATATATGAATTTGTTTATGACCTTACACTAACACACTGAAGTTTTAAAGTAAAAGGGGAAACTCCCAATGGTTGGCTGTATACCAAAGTTTAAAAACACTTTTTGAGTTGGCTTTTACCATTAGTTCGACAAAGTTGTCAACCCATTCAAACGATTAAGATGTATGATCCCTTCATGTTAAATTTTATAACATTGACCCAGTGTCATTAATATATTAAAATTCACCATGATTTTTAGTAAGATAATGATTTCTACATCTGTTTACGTAGCTAGTTTCAACTACGTTTAAAGTTTTTTTACTGATTAACGAAATCGTTTTTAAGATTTGTAATTCTTTTGGAAAAATTTTTAAATTATTCTTTTAATAAATAATATACCATTATACACAAAGTTTTGTCCAGTGTTTTTATCTTTAGATCTGCTTGAGATCTTTGTCATAACTTTGGTTTTCTCTTCAACTATTGTAAGGTCAATTTGCTTTGCAGCTGTTGAGGCAGAGGCACATGCTTTTGTTTTTGGCATTTATCAAAAGTTTTCTGTTGGTATGAGCATTTAGATCCAAATAGTAATTGGTGGTCTCGTCAGTAACCTCCTTTGGAATGTAAAACATGTTTTTCCATAAAATTCTTTTAGTTTATTCGATACAGTATCCTTTTAACGTAATACAATGATTTCAGCGATTTTCCAACTTCTTTGTACCGTCCGAATAATACAATTCTGGAAACTCTACAAAACAAATTCCGCTCTTTTTTATTCACAATCCATCTCTTCAGATTTGTGACACATAATAATCGAATGGGGCCAAATCTGGAAAATAAGCCGAATGAGAAACCAATTCGAAGCCCAACTCATGAATTTTTGCCATTGTCATAACGCTCTTATAAGCTGGCGCATTATCTTGGAAAAACAAATTTTTTTTTCTTCTGCATATGGCATCGTTTCTCACCGAGTGTCTGCTTTAGTTTGTCCAATAATGCACAACAATATTTGATATTGATATTTTAACCTTTTTCAATTATAGTTAATTAAAATTATGCCTTTTGCAATCCCAAAATACTGTGGCTATAATATTTTCGACCCATTGAGCCACTCTTGGCTGCTTCGGAGGACTTTTGCCGGCTTCAGTCCACAGATAAAACATGGCGTTCATTCTGATCTCTGGTGTGTAGTAGTGGATCCATATTTTATCTACGGTTATCAATGGACGCCCAAGAGTCCGACGGATTTCGCTTCGTAAGTTCCAAACGTGATCATGTTGTTGGTCAATGGTCAGCAAAGGCGGTACCCATCGGCAGGATACTTTTTTCATATTCAAAACTTCGTTTAAAATATGACTAGTACGGTCTTTACTAATTCTTGTGACCCCTAACCTTCACTTTATGAGCAGCTAAGACCATTTCATGGACTTTCTTCATATTTTCCTGTGTAATTGTATCGTAGGACCCTCCAATGTAGATATACGGTCACTAAGAATTTCACGGAACCAAAATTTGACAGATAGCTTCCATATTATATAACTTGGCAGTTTTATGAATGTCGATATGGACAACGAATTCTGGAATATTTAGAATAGAGTGATTCCGAAACAAACAGGAAAATATATGAAAGATTCACAATAAAAATCCAGGCATATAATAATTATTATCTTTTCTAATTTACTACTTTCCTAATAATAAATTATCCGAAAATTGATAAAAGAGGTCAAAACATAGATCTGATAAATATTTGTATTTGTCAGATCGTTATCAACAATACGGTCCACATTTCGAAGGCCCCCTGTTAGTGGAGAATATTTTTAACATCCATGTCTTCATGCCGTATAACAATATAGACTATACATAGCATTTTTACCATCCTTAAGAGGAGATTGAAGAAAAGATTGCGATTAAATAGTATCGGTTTAAATTTGATAAAAGCTTTTGTCTTGCTTGTTCGGTACAGCATTTTATTTGTTGTTGAGGATCTCATTGGTCATTCACTGTCATTCCCAAGTATTTGAATGTTTTCACTTGCTCGATTGGAGCGTTATCTACTTGCAGATGTACTCTTAAAAGTGTATTTGAAATTAAAAATCTATTATCTATGACACGAATCAATGTAAGGCTGCTTAATTGAGATGATGGAAAATTTCAAAATTAATAGGAGAATTTTTTAGGATGTATGTTTATGTAGGTGCTCATATATATATATATATATATATATATATATATATATATATATATATATATATATATATATATATATATATATTATATATATATATATATATATATATATAAAACACAGAAGTTAAAACACTTCACAAATGTGTATTTAGGTATAAAACAAACAAGTTAAAAACTTTTTAAAAAAGTGTCGCCACATTTAAAGTTCTGGCAGAACGTTTTCGATCACTACGGATCATCTTCAGTGCCTAGTATTTGTTGCTAACAATATGGTGTCTATAAGACTTCCATGTTTGGGTTGTTAAAGTGTCACATTTTACATTAGATAATGTTGAAACTGTAGGTCGATGACAATGGATGTATTTAAAATTAAAAATTTACTTTAGGGACTACATGTCCGACGATCATTTTGGTCTGTGTCGTCGCTTCAACTGACAACGTGCAAGTATTCGAGCTTAGGAGACATGTAGTCCCTAAAGTAAATTTTTAATTTTAAATACATCCATTGTCATCGACCTACAGTTTCAACATTATCTAATGTAAAATGTGACACTTTAACAACCCAAACATGGATGTCTTATAGACACCATATTGTTAGCAACAAATACTAGGCACTGAAGATGATCCGTAGTGATCGAAAACGTTCTGCCAGAACTTTAAATGTGACGACACTTTTTTAAAAAGTTTTAACTTGCTTGTTTTATACCTAAATACACATTTGTGAAGTGTTTTAACTTCTGTGTTTTTTTTTAAACGATGGTATACAGCCAATTACGGGGTTTTTCCCATTAATTTTATATATATATATATATATATATATATATATATATATATTATATATATATATATATATTTATATATATATATCTAGGGACAACTGTTTCCCACTCATTGCGCAAGTTTACTCCTAGCAAAATATATACTGTATATTTTCATATCTTGAAAATTTTAAATTTCAAATTTTAAATTGATCGATATCTTATATTTTTGTACTGCCAATGTTAAATATTGTTTATATTTCAGCAACGACCACCGGATAACTCCTTTTATATAAAAACTTGCAGTAAAAATCCTAAGAAAACCAAATGGTGGTACCATGGTAAGTATTTATAAATTTTCATGTCATTAAAAGATTTTTGAACATTACCATTAATAATATACAAAGATGATAAAAACTGATAACAATGTCATATACTATTGTCTTACTTAACCTACTTACTTTATTGGTCGTGCCTTTAAAGTTACACAAATTTAAATCCATGATATGAAATTATGATTAAAATAAAACACTGCTTATATTTTTGTTGGCATAACTTTTGATGATACAGTGACGATTTTGCCAGTCTTTTCGATTACATTTGTGTATAATTACTCAATTCCGTATCATCACTATGGCTATAGCCAATCATTCTCAAACCATATTTGCAAATTTGATTGACAAACTATATAAAATTTTAATCCATATTGAACTTCTTTATAGATTGACGTATGATCCCTTAAAAAACTAAGTTTGTCTTACCACAAAACTAGTGACTTATCAACCATGATTAGTTGGTTAGTTTATTTGTCTGATTGGAATCTTATACAACAGCAGACCCAAAAAAACATATAAATTATTTCTCTTCTTAACCGGCTAATACTCTTTTTTTAGCTCTGTTGCATTAAGAACTGCAATGGAATAAGCATTAGTGTCTGATAATAAGGTCATAAAATTGGTTATTAAATGGCACTGAAATGAAGCTGTATATATTCCTAGCTCAGCTGCCCCAAGTAGAAACACTGTATATCCAATTTTTTCAAAATCACTTTTACCGCATTTTTGGATATAGTGTGTTATTACCTATCGTTTAAGAAGGAACAAAAAAAATAAAAATGAGTAGAATCACAATTTACCGTTGCTATGAAACACTGTATATCACATTCCATATTCCCTTTATCAATATAAAACACATTATATCCATATTTCCAAGTTGGATATACAATGTTTTTATTTAGTTTTTTGATTTACAGTGATTTACCGTGGGATTCATTGAGTTTAGATTCGCCAAGACTCAAAACCGATATTATCATCAAAATTATATTTAAGTTGTTTATATTCGTCAAGACCGTTGATTTTTTTTAGTTATTTGTTAGTTCTAAAGTTATAAAGTATATAGGAGAAATGAAACAAGAGTATTTTATTTACATAAAAACGATAACACCTAATTTCTGCCAGTATGCAAACTATTTTTACTAAATACATTTGGTTATACCAGTGATTCGGTTATCAATAAATTATCATATGCTATCAAAAAGGAGCCACTTAATGCATATGTAAAGGAAAATCGAGGTAAAAAATCCAGTAATGTCTGTGACAGTGACATAATAGTAAAACATATAATAGTATATTACATAACGAGAGTTGTAAGAAACTTATTACATGCGAGTAAAAAAGTTGCGCGCGAGCCGCGTAGCGGCGAGCGCAGTAATTTTACAAGCATGTAATAAGCTTACAACTTAAGTTGTGTACTATACTTTTTCTACCATTATTTTTGTTTACAAAAATAAAAATTAAATTACCACTATATTTACACTGACAGATTAACAAATTTTAACCTCTCAAAACAACGCCTGTTAATTCGTTTCCATGGTAACTCGACCAACTGACTTACAAGGCTTATGTGATATTACACATTTTTATAGAACTGAAGCGTAATTTTTTTTATTACGTGCTAGTTATTACGTGTCAGTATCTGTTATGATGCATTTACTTAGCATCCAAATAGTAGGTAATATACAATTTACTAGTAAGAGAGTAGAAAAACTCTTATAATCCCTGCGTTAGTCATTACCGCCGAAAAAACGCCCCTTTCACTACATTTTAGATATTTGCCGTCAAGTTTAACAGTTTCTTCCATGTTTAATGACTTCAGATTAAAGCACCCAGATATATGTAAAATTGAAACTTACAGAAAAATTATGAAGACGATCAAAATATCTTTACACATGCCTCAAATGGATTCATGTTCTGACTGTTTAGAGTACAACAACTGTGTAGAAGCAAGCAGCACATGAATAGAGAATTCGGTTGTATGTTCTACCATAAAAGCTCAATGGGAGGCACACAAAAAGAAAGCATATGATGCTAATAGATATTACAAAATTGATGCAGAATTATTAAAAAATCAAGAGATGTATTTGACTTTCAAGATTTATTGTCTGTTATAAGAAAATCACGAAAAAATTTAAATGTACTTCAAGTACAAACTTCATTCCAATGGCCAAAAAAGAAACGGCAGCCTAGAAAGGGAAATGAAAATGATCCTCTGAAAACGTTTTTAATTAATCCCATAGTAGAAGCTAACTTTTTATGGCACCCTTAAATTCAAAACCAACTTCGAAGATGAAAACTACCAGGAGCTTGAATTCTTGCAAGTAAGGTTCGTGGTGTCAAATTTTCTGCAGAAGACCAACGCAAGAGGTATTCGTAAAAGCAAAAAAGATCAAATAATACAGAAACTTATTCCGTTGATGCCTGAGAACAGAAGATCGTTTTGGCTTAATTTGTCGGTCTCTGAGACAGCAGTGGACGATCTCCTCCAAAACCGTGGATTGCAGCAATTACAGGACAATGACCATTAAAATATTTTTACATTAATTTTTTTTATATATTTGTTAAATGAACGCGAATAAAGTATAATTTGCAGTACTTAATGTCTTTACAAATTGGGATATTTTAGTTTATATTCTTAGGTTTCTAAAAAAAAACACTGTATGTGTTCAAATCCTAATCAGGAAATAAAATGCATACATAAAAATATTAACTAAAAAACAACTAACAATATAGAATAGACCTACAAACTTAGTAGCTCATTTTCCATATTTAGTGCTGAATCTATTGATATCTGTGAAGCTCTGATTTAGGTAATTCAATCCACCATTGATTCTGCAGTAATTTTATCATGTTATGAAATTTAATATCGTAAAATTTGGAAAGAACACTGGTTGCGACTACATTTATACATTATTCCACATATTCCAGGTTACAAAAACAAATACAGTACAAATATTGTTCTGAAGCTATTTTCTTGTGGCATTTTAAATTATATTTATAAATATATTTATAATAATTATAATATTATAATATATTATATGTTTTATAATATATATATATATATATATATATATTATATATATATATATATATATATATTATATTATATGTATTATATAATATATTATAATTTATAAATTATAATTATAATCCCAGTTAAATAGTAATTAATACAGAACAAATGTTATTCCAGCCAGATAATTTATCATGGAAATATATTGCAAAGATAACACCTCCCCGATTTGGTCACCCGTGCTATCCCGTACATATACATAACATTAATATTCGCGATATTAAAGGCCATTAGAACTTTTTTTCTTCGAATATTCAAAGTATAAAAATTAATCGGAATAACTAGTTCATCATTTAGAGGACAACAATATCTAGTTTATTTTAACGTAGTCTTTTACCAAATATTCAATGTACTCAAACATGTAACATTTTACTTATAAATCCTACCCCACCACTATACGTGGAAGATCAGATAACGGCAAATATACGAGATGTTGTGTTACAGAAATTGTTACAGAAAATGTACTCAAACATGTAACATTTTACTTATAAATCCTACCCCACCACTATACGTGGAAGATCAGATAACGGCAAATATACGAGATGTTGTGTTACAGAAATTGGTTGAAATATTGCGCAAAACCAAGTAAAAAAAAAGAAATCACTGGTTTGATCATGAGTGCGAAATAGCCACAAATAGAAAGAACGCAGCATACCAAAAAACCATCGACGCAAGTTGTGCACGTTGAAAAAAGAGTATAGACGTCTATAGAAGAGAGGAAAAACGTATCCATCAACGTAAGAAGAGGGAATACGAACAAAACACTCTCAATGAGATATAAAGTTTATTCGATAAAAATGAAATGAGGAAATACTACAAATCCTTAAATAATAGCCGTCGAGAATTTAAACCACGATTAAAAATATTTAAAGACACTAACGAAGAAATTCTACATGATAAAAACTCAGTTCTTAACATTTCAGCGAACATCTAAATATAAACGATATTGAACGAGGTTACAACATAGATTATCAACAAAATTTATAATGTCAACTACACAGTGAAACCAACAAGAGAAGTGTCAAATGCCATCCTTAAACTCAAAGACAATAAAGCCCCAGGAATCTAGGAAATCTGTTCGGAAATGTATAAAAAAGGTAGTGATCAGCTTTTTGCAGCAATCCACAAACTAATAGTACTTGTATGGCAGAATGAATTGGTACCAGAAGAGTGGCTAAAGGGAATAATATGTCCGTTGAATAAAAAGGGTGATCAACTGGAGTGTGTGAGAACTATAGAGGCATTACTGTTAGCACCTGCGTATAAAATTTTCGGCAATGTATTGTTTAGAAGACTTAAACATTTTACAAAGGATATTGTTGGTCAATATCAATGCGGATTTATGTACTGCTGGAAAGTCAACTACACATCAAATTCAAGCACATAGACAGATTCTAGAAAAGTCACTAGAATATAACATAGATAGCCATCATGTCTTCATCGACTTCAAAGCAGCCTATAACAGTGTGAAAAGAACTACATTATTATAATGCAATGTAATACTTTGGGATCCCACGTAAGTTAGTTAAGTGGCCCAACTAACAATGCAAAACGTAACCTCATACGCTAGTACCACTAGTAAACGTAAAAGCGACGAAATAAAAAGACGCATAGCAAAAACAATATTACCAATATTGAAGTCCTTGATAGGGTTAATAAGAGGGAAGAAATTGTACAGACAATTAAGAGGCGGAAACTTGAAAATTTCGGTCATATATTAAGAGGTCCTCGTTATGGGCTACTACGTTTGATTATAGAGGGCAAAATAAAAGGTAAAAGAGATGTAGGAAGAAGACGAACCTCCTGGCTACGAAATCTATGGGAATGGTTTAGTCTGAGCTCTAGCCAACTATATAGAGCTGCTGTAAGTAAAATAAGAATTGCCATGTTGATATCCAACCTTCGTTAGAAGATGGAACCTTAAGAAGAAGATAGCAATAGAAAACAGAACTGTTCACGGCCTCCAGAAAAAAAAATATAAATATAAAACGTGCAGTAAAGCTCAATATATAAAAGACCTTAATAAGACCGGCTTTGATATATGGGGCTGAAACGTGGACATTATCTCAAAATGATGAAAGACTTCTTGGTAATTTTTGAGAGAAAAATTTCTATGAAGATTTTTGGGGCTGTAAATGAGCTATGGTGTCTAAGATACCACTTTGAACTATTGGGACCGTGCAAGTTCGGAACAGCGACACCTGGTGTCGTAAATAAGCAAAATTTACTGCGCTTTCATGTTAGATCGAGGTTACCGGATAACTGTCAAGGACGTAGTCCCAAAAAAGAATAAGAAGTAAAAGTAAGATTGAGGTTATGTCGGTATGTTATAAAAAGGTAAACGTTGTATGTAGTGTAAATACAAATAAATATATTATTAAATTACAGCATTACTGTTAATATGGATGCAATAATTAAAACTGGATTTGAGAAAGTAAATCTCCAAATAACTTTTCAACCAAGCACTGAGTCAAATGGAAAAGCTTTAGTAGTGGCAAATGTCAAAAAAGAATGGAAGAATTATGTGGAAGAATTAAGAAAAATAAATTACCATAAATAATGCTAATGCATAAATTAGCAGGTTAAGCCCATGATATCACCATATTGGTTTGAACAATTAATTCTTTCCCTGTAAACTTTTGGACAGCGAATATATCTTAATGCATCTTCAGAAAAATTTGAACTTGATGCATTTGTGTAAACTTCAAAAAAACAAAATTTACATTAAACATTAAACTTGATTTTTGGGTTAAAATGAACTCTAAGTGAGTGTTATGAAACTAAAATTTACACTTAAAAGTGAACTTTTATTTATTATTTATTTCAAACTGACTTTAAAATCGGGCGCAAGAATAATGCATAATTTAGGTTATGTTACTTATGCTTTTTTATGATATAAATCCACTTTTCTCTTTGTAGTAATTTGTGCTTCGAAGTTGGAAACGAATAAAACTTCAATTTTGTTGTTGTATTTTTACAATTTATAACACAGCATTTCCTAAATTCCATTTTCTTCAGTGACAGAAGGTGTAAATAAACAAACGAATATGGAATATGACAATTGACAATATGAATTTATAAAATCTATGAAATTTGCAGTAAAAAATGCAAGATTTCTCCGCTACTCGCGCACGATCGTTTCTCGTATCACATCCAAGTACTTGCACGTCGCCAATATCAGTTATACACCGATCCAGATATTGTGAAACCAGGAGGCACAAGAAGCAAGAGGACGATCACGAAGGAGATGGATTGATGATGTGGAAGAAGACCTACAGATTTTAAGGGTCAGAAAATGGAGGGAAGTTGTCAGGAATCGACAGAAGTAGCGACTTCTTTGTGAGCAGGCCAAGATCCACAACGGATTGTCGAGCCACTTATGATGATGATGATTTACAAATGGAAAGTTTTTATTGAAAATTAATTAATATACACTAACATTATTCGTGATTATTTTTAATAATCTTTTGCATTTTACCTTTCAATACGATTCGAAGTAATTGATATCTTTCATCTCGTAACACATGACGTAAGTATTGTATTTTCGTTGGTAATTTTTTGTAACCATGGAATTATTAGCATCCGTCTGTATATATACATCTCGAATACATCTATTCTTTTTTCTGTGTTAGAGTCCATTGTCTTTCACAACTATACAGCAAGACAGAGGAAACTTAACATTTGATCATTCGAATTTTGAACTACAGACTAAGGTCTGATCTTGTAAAAAATATTTTCATGTTCATGAGTGTTTTCTTCGCTTGTTCGATTCTTGATAGCATTTTTTTTTATGGGTTACATTGGTTTTTAATGTTTACTGCCATTTAATTTATGGAAAATAACTCTTCTATTATTTATCCTTTGTATGTTTATCGGTATCTTTGAAAATACTAAAATTTTAGTTTTGGAAACATTTAGATTTAAATCGAACATTTCGCTATGAAGAACTACCGAATTTATTATATTTTGTAGCTCTTGACGGCTCTTGTTTTAGCGTCTGATATGTGACCATCTTTTTCTTGGCATTATTTTTTCTATCAAATCTCTGATTTTTCAAATGATGAATTATTTGAAAAACTCATGAAGAAAAGGAAAATCTTCCTTGCAATTGGTTTTATTGTAACTTGGTCGACTGATTTCGGGCTTTAGCATTTTCAGTTCATCGTCAGATCCGCAATTAAGGATTAATTAACGACTACAAAAGAGATTTAACAGTTGCTATAGATTATAAAATAAAAATTATGCCCATAGACATATAATACCTGATAGACTGATCGTTGCAATACCAGCCCGTTCCCCCAGTGCGACAAAGAAAACTGACGGAAAGCAGTCCCTGCATCTTTTTCTAATCGGCCGGGTTTATCGACCACGTGACCTTCTCATTGGTCACGTGGTCGATAAACCTGTCAAATTAGAAAGAGATGCAGGGACTACTTTGCATCAGTTTTCTTTGTCGCACTGGGGGAACGCGTCTGTATTGCAGCAATCAGTCTATTTGTATTATATGTCTATGATTATGCCAATACAAAGTTTTTATTGAGTATATTTAGATTGTATCAGTGTATTGCATGTATACTTACATAACGGTGCAAATAAAACGGTCATAAGTAACTATACTACCTGCTTAGTTATGCCAGGGCAGTGTTGGTAGGTAAAATACTTTCTGTACATCGTGGTTGGGGCACTTTCTTGAGGAGAAGGTATTCAGAATGACCAACGGAAAAATGTGTGATGAGAGTATTGTGTTTTTTTGTTATATTCACATGTTACTTGTTGGATATGAACAGTTCTACTTCATCATTGAGTTTTTCTGAATCTTTCAGTGCAACATCCAGATCAATTTCGACTTCTAGGCTTATTTTGAAAGTTTCTCAACATTTTAATTAGTTACACATATTTACAACTATAGGTAAGCGATAAAAGTTCCTATCCTAGTCATCTTCAATGTCTCTATTAATTTGTTGAGATATTATCGAAAATTAAAAATCCCATCAGATCTGGAATTTTATTTCTACCAGTAGGCCAGTGTTTTGGTCTACCAGTAGATATAGTTTCACCTTTTTGTTCTTAACAGCTCATAATAAGTGGAGTTTAGTAATAACACTTCTTTCCCTTTAAAGTTAGCCTTAAATTCCAGCGCGTATTCTTTGCATACAAATCACCACCGATGATGTATCTCGCGCGTAGAGTATTAATAAATTTCATAAATTGATCTTTTTTAATGAAGTTTCTAGTAAGACGTTATAACGAGATTATTTTTATGTTATGAGTTTTAAACTTAATACAGACTGTTATATCTTGTAGCAAAACTAATTTGTATATTTTTATTTCAGATGATTCCGTGTAATGGTTTGTCCACACAATGAATGGAACTTAAAAGTTATGTGATTATAATATATTATTGTTTATTTATAGATTGAAAATTTTATATTTACATAATAGATTTTCTGAATGATTGAAATTTTCATGTGTTAGACTCTAAACAATAAATATATACTTTGTCTAGTGCCTACCATAAAGTTGTATTATGCTTTCCTTTAAACTTAATATTATAATAGACGTTTAACTTGTTGCTAATAAATATATGCAAAAAGCACAACATACTTTATTCATTAATTACCTTAAAAGCTTTTTATTCTTCTTCCTCAGCTTTTCCCTTTTCAGGAGTCACTGTTCCTTAGTCTTCGTCGCCTCTCATTTCTGTTCATCGGCCCTTCTTCACCTAAACCTTTCTCAAGTCCTCTGCCACACAATCCTCCCATCTTCTCGGTTTTCCTTTACCTCTTCTTTGATCAATTTCTAACAGCTCTATCCTTCGTCCCACATAGTTTTCATTTCTACATCTGACATAACCAAAACATTGCAGTCTTTGTTCTTGAATCTTTTTTGAGACTGCAGTCACTCCAACTCTTTCCCTAATCAAGTCGTTTCTGATCCTGTCCCTTCTAGTCTTACCCAACATCCACCGTAAAATTTTCATTTCAAATGCCTCCATCTTCTTATTTTGGATATTATTTACAGGCCAAAATTCACCGCCGTACATCAACGCAGGTTTCAACACACTCTTGTATATCTTTCCTTTCAGCCCTTCCCCGATTTTTCGATCACAAAGTACCGCGTTCGTTCGCTTCCAGTTAAACCAACCAGCCTGTATCCTGTGGGTAATTTCTCGATCTTCGTCTTCTTCTAATGGCGGTACAACCCTTTGTGAGTCTTGGCCTGCTTAACAATGTTTCCTTGGGACTACTGTGCTCTGGACTACTTTTACAGCTCGATTATCTGGCATTCTTTTTAGGTGACCAAGCCAGTTTAGTCTTTGTGACTTTACAAATCTAGCAATATCTGCGCTCTACATTAGTTCATTAAGCTCGTGGTTCATTTTAATTCTCCACGAACCATCGCTGTATTGGGTTAGTTCAAATATCTTGCTCAGTATTTTGCGCTCAAATATTATCAGTTGATTTTTATCAGTGGTTGAGAGGGTCCACGTTTCACATCCATATGTGACCACCATTTGTAGATTCTAAGCTTAGACTCACGATTCAGTAACTTACTTTTCATTAAGTATTTGTATGCATAAAAGCACTTATTACCGCTAAGGGTGCGTTCATAACGGAGACCATGGCATCGCTTCGCCTAGAGCATAGCACTGACGGTGAACGCTCGCATTTATTTTAACGAAAATCGATAAGATGATACCATCCCATAGTCCGAGCGAGGGTCGGCGCCTCGTTATGAACGCACGCTAGTTATGTTGTTGTCATTTATTATCGAGCCTATGTAGGGAAAAGAGCCTGGAGGTATATAAAATAATACTGAGAGCCTAGAATGAGGAACAAATCCCGGAAGAGTGGTGTATTGGAATCGTTTGCCCGCTACACAAAAAGGGTGACCAATTGGAATGTAGAAACTATAGGGGAATAACCCTCCTTAATACAGCATACAAAATATTTTCGAGGATCATATATGGTCGCCTAAGTACATATTCAGAGGAACTTCTCGGGGAATATCAAAGTGGCTTTAGGCCTGGTCGATCAACAACAGATCAGATCTTTGTGCTAAGGCAAATACGGGAAAAAACCAATGAATTCAATATCGATACATACCATCTTTTTGTAGACTTCAAATTTGCCTATGATAGTGTCCTAAGAAATAAATTGTATGAAGCAATGAATGAATTCCACATCCCCGATAAACTGATAAGATTGGTTAAGGCTACAATGCGTAATGTGGTTTGCAAAGTCGAAATACAGGGCGAACAATCACAGGCGTTTGGAACGCATGTTGGGCTGCGACAGGGAGACGCGCTGGCGTGTCTCCTTTTCAACATAGCACTGGAAAAGGCGATCAGAGATGCCCGAATAGACAACAGGAAATATTTTTAATAAATCATCCCAAATTTTGGCATATGCAGATGATGTGGACCTAGTTGCCCGCACAACACGCAAGCTAGAAGAAATGTATACCACCTTCTCAAATGCCTCAAAATCTATGGGCCTGCAAGTAAATGAGGAGAAAACTAAGATGATGGCATCAACACCCAACAATAGAGCCAGGAACATCGGTCCCCAATTCACGGTTGATAACTCTACCTTTGAAGTGGTTGACAAATTCACATACATAGGCTCCCTGATCACCAAAGAGAACGCCATAACGGAAGAAATCAAGCGAAGGATAGTAATGGCAAACAGATGCTATTTTGGACTGAGTAGACATATGAGAAGTAGAAACTTAAGCCAAAAAACAAAAATAACTATATACAAAACCCTTATACAGCCAGTGTTGACATATGGATCGGAGACATGGACCATCTCCAAGGCAGACGAAGACCTTTTGCTTATATTTGAACTAAGGATCCTGAGAGGAATATTTGGTGGCATCTGTGAAAATGGTGTTTGGAGGAGGAGATACAACTACGAGGTATACCACAGATATAAACAAATATTTGGTGGTAAAGACATAGTACCTCTTATAAGAATAGGAAGATTAAGATGGGCAGGACATCTAGCAAGATCACAGCAGAACTACCCTCCTAGAAGAATCCTTATGTCACAACCCGTGGGAAGCAGAAAAAGGGGTAGGCCAAAACTCAGATGGAAGGATGGTGTAGATGAGGATGGTAGAAAGATAGGCGCAGCAAACTGGCAACGGTTGGCAATGGATAGGACTGCCTGGCGTAATAGACTTGGGAAGGTCGAGGCTCTTTCATAGGGCTGTAGCACCATTGATGATGATGAGGTAGGGAAAAGTGGAGGCATATTTGTAGGTATGGTTGTCTACCTTCAGATTCTCATGTTGATTCGATTTTGTGCACTCCATATATTTTGTTTTTCTTTCATTTATAGACCAAACGTAGAAGCTTGTCGTTTCAGTTCTACAACTGTTTCGCTTAATACCCTTTTGTTGCGGCTTAGTATGGCAACATCATCCGCATATGCGCATAGATCTTGTATTAATGCAGGCGTTTATATACAGTTTTCTAACAACAGCTTCTTAAGTTAGATTAAAAAGTGTTGTTGATAGGGCATCACCTTGTCTAACTCCAATTTCAATATCAAAGGCCTGCGTTATATCTCCATCTATTCTCACCATAGCTTTGGAAGCTCCAGAGTCATTCGTATAAGTTTAACCAACTTATTGGGTATCCCTACATAGATAGTTGCTTTAACATCTTTTATCGACCTACTCCACCAAACGCCTGTTTGAAATCGATATACATGTTATATTCAACACATTTTTCATGTATACCTCTTAACATATGTATTTGGTCTATAGTTGACCTCTTTGGTCTGAAGCCACATTGGTATTCAAAAATCATCTCCTTCGAAAACGATTCCAGGCGGCTGTATATAATTCGTGATAATATCTTAACATTTAAAACTGTTATGCCCCTATAATTTTTGCAGGGTCGTTTGTCTTCCCCTTTGTACATTGGAAGTATAATGAAGTATGGAAGTATTCCGAAGCTATGCTGGCTATAGCTTCGGAACAAGCTATGCTTTCTCCCTTCCCCATCCGCCCTCGCCCTATCTTCCATTGGAGTTGACCCGGTTTCATGTTGCTCAAGTTTACCGGGGTTGACGCGTGTGATCAAGATCACACTTCTTGGATGTGAGAATAGGAATTGAATAGGAGAGGCTAGAGGTGTTATCTGGAAGCAACACCTTGTATGGCGCCTCACTACTTTGCGCCTTTGAACCCCAATTTCTCGATATATTGTCCCATTTTCTGTTATGTAGGAGCCAAAGTATTTAAAGTCTTCTACTCGTCCTAGTTTTCTCCAATTCTACGTCCCCAACCATTACTCTTATTCCCAAACACATATACTCCGTTTTCGACCTGCTAACATTAAGTCATGCCTATTCAATATCCTTCTCCAACACTCCCAGCATTTCCTTGTTCTCTACTAACACATTGAACCAGGAACCCCCTCCCTTACTTTTTCTATCAGTACATCCATAACAAGATTAAACAGGTAAGGACTTAATGAAGAGCCTTGATGCAAACTAAATGTCACTGGAAAACTTTCTGTCAATCCGACAGTAGTCCTTACTTTGGTGTACGCTCCCTCATACATCTTCATAGCTCTTGTCCAGGAACTGTGTCGTCCGCCTTCTTAAATACATAACATCTATAAATACTAAATGTAGCTCTCTTTTCTTCTCGCTGTATTTCTCTATCAACGCAAACAAGGCATCCGTTGTCCTCCTTCCTGGCATAAACCCAAACTTCTCCTATCGATGTCTCTCTCCATAACCTTTACTCTACAGTTCTCTCCCAAATTCTCTCTAGTTCTTACAGTCCTGAATATCCCCTTTATCTTTATACAATGATACCATCACACTCTCTCCATGCATGGGGCAACCTTTCTTACTAATATATCCTACTCATCATTTGCCACAAAATATTAACCCCTTCCTCTCCTAATCCTTCCCCGCCTTTCAAACCTCCACAGGTATTTCATCAGGTCCTACTGCCTTCGTCCTATTTAACGACTCGACAACTTATCTCTCGCTATTCCCGGTATTACATTCTCATTTGGAATCCCGCATCCTCTGGCGTTCTTCATTTAGCAACTTACTACAGTACTCATATCATCTTGGCTTTATTTCAACATCGGTTCTTAACACTTTTTCATCCGCACTCTTGAATCTGCCGCACTTGGGTACTTCCCTCTTTACCACCTTGTATATATCCTGATCTATCTCTCTTTTAGACCTATCATACCTCTTTCTTCTCTCTAACTTTCTGTTGCACCTTAGCGTTCCACCATCAAGTTTCTTTGTCTCTAGGAGGCCCTTAACCAGATGTTTTTCCTAGCGCTTCCTCTTTCACTCGCACCACAACTTTACTGTTGGCTTCCCACCAGTCATTTACCATATCTTTTCCTCAAGCTCTTCCAGCACTCTACTCTTAAAGACTATTGCCAAATTCTTATCCTTTAGCTTTCACCACTTTACTTTCTGGTGTCCTACTTGCTTTACTTACACATCACAAAATATATCTGACTTTCCA